TCTCTCTGGCCCAACACCACATCCCAGTCATAGGGCACCTTGTGAAAATTGGATATAGGTTCCACCCTGCTCCAGAGCCCTCCGGGTTATCATGACATCTGCAAACATCCCATCCTGTGGCTCAAACTAGACAGGATTTGAGGGTAACATCTCCATCAATGTCCCAGCACCTTAGCAGGTTCAGTGACTTCAGCCATATACCCATTTCCGTGCTGAGACCTCTCCTTGAGAGAGGGACGCCCCCCCATCTGCTTTTCACCAGATGGGCTCATGTCAGTCATGAGACACATTCAACTAACATCATGAATCAGTAAACAAAGGGAGAAATAGGATGTGGTGGTACACACCTTTAATCTCAACACAAGGGAGGCAGAGGTAGATTGACCTCTGTGACCTCAAGGTATGATAATACGTGCCTTTAATCCCAATGCCTGGGAGGCAGAGACAGATCTCTGTGAGTTCAAGGTATGGTAGCACAAGCCTTTAATCCCAGCACTGGGGAGGTAGAGACAGGCAGATCTCTGTGAGTTCAAGGACAGCCTGGTTTACAGAGTTATTCCAGGACAAAGATATACAGAAAAACTGTCTCAAAAAGTAAAAATAAAAATAAGAAAAATAAAGGTTAAAATAAAGCCACACAAGGATGGAAAATACACTGAAAATCTTGATACTGTGTGCTATTATACTCTCTTTAAGTTGTTTGAATGCTGAGGAAGGAACAACAGCTGCTAAAAGATATTTGCTTATAAATGCTGCTAAATTAATCCAAGATAGATATTTTGAAAATACCTTGGCTTCAAATTTGAAGTCAAAAGGTATGCTACTTTATAGAAGAGATTTTGCTTTTGTTTCCACAGAAAATGAGAGGCTCTGGATTTATTCAGAGTTAAGAAAAATCATCTTTGACCAAGGGAGACCACCTGAGCAATCTCCGGTAGGAACAGATGGCCTGGATGTCTGAATTCTATATCCAGAACAGATTCAAGACTGCTACCTGAGATGATCAAGACTCACAGGACTTGATCATAACTCTAAATTTTCTTTAGGTCCCCATAAGATTATCAGTGTCCCCAACCAGCAGAAAGTAGCCTGAAATACTACGCCCACATTCCCAACAAATGGACTATGGGTATTTTCCTATTTTTTTTTTTAAAAAAGAGGGAATTGGTGTGGGAGAATTGTCTGTTTCTGTCAATCATATTTTAATTAAACACTGATTGGCCAGGCAGGCAGTATAGGCGAGAAAGCCAGACAGGAGGTAGAGGTGGAGCAAAGAGACTGGGAGTATTCTGGAAAGCAGGAAGCTTCCAGTTCTGCCCAGACCACCGGAGAGGAAAGATGTCAGCTGCCCCGCTGGAAAAGGTACTGAGCTATGTGCTAACATAGATAAGAATAATGGGGTAACATAAGTTATAAGAGCTAATAAGTAGCCTGACCTAATGGGCCAGTCAGTTTATAATATTATGGAGTCCTGTGTGTGATTTTCGTTGGGAGTTGCCGACTGTGGGGTACCGGGCGGGACAGAAACCCCAACAAGCAAGCCCTCATACTACAGTTATTATCCAACCTCCATAGAAACCTAAAATAGCTTTCTAGAGAGTTTGAGACGACAGAGTTTTGCACGCCTTCTGCCCAGAGCGAGCCACTTTGATCGCAGCTCTGGCCATAGAATTCGGAGAACTTCAACTTCCAAAAACTATCTTTTGGTTCAGTCTAAAATGTTCAGTTCTGAACAAAGCAGTAGCATTTTGCCTAAAGAATCATCTGATTCTTCATCTGAAACTAAGGTTGGGAAGTCCAGTGCTATTGAAAGTTAACCATAATGCATATATAACCATATATGCAAAACAAAACAGAAACTCTGTGCATGCTGGAAGAAACTAACAGAGACTCTTTCACTGAGGAAGAAGAAAAAGACCCTTTTGTGCGTCTAAAGCATACACAGGTATGACGTGCAAGGTCAGTGTCCTTTCTGTTCAAACGGCAGAGGAACAGGCCAACCAAAGCTCTCATTACTTCGAAGGCAGAAAGGCACAAAAGCTTCCTTCTCGGAAGTGTGCTGGAATCACATTAGATCACAGGACAGTGGCAAGAAGACAGGATGGACTGATCTCTGAGAGACAGGGAGAAGTTTGCTGAGCTGGGACAGGGAGCTAGATCTACAGCATTGAAAACACAGACCTACTAAGGGGATTTTGCTTGTTTCTTTTTTAATTGATTATTTTCATCAGCGGCCCGGGAGTAGAGTAAGGGTCCAGGGAAAGACTTCTGTAACAGAGAAAAGGCCTCACCAGACCGTCTGCCCCAGTGGCGCAGGGCAGGGGAAAGGTGGTCCTCCAAAGACAGGAGTTAAGTGTGTCTTGAAGCCCTGTGCTCAGAAGCAGCATGAGGGCTGGGATAGCAAATAAGATCAGGTTTGACTAGGAGGTCAGGCAGCTCCTAGGACTGGCCAGAGCTACAGAGGCCTGGAGGAGAGGGGAACTTAACTGAAGTCTGGTAAGCAAGCGTATTCTCACTCCTCAGTGCAGACCTAACAGCTCAGCTCCTGGAAATCGGAAGCAGACAAGATCGCCAGCCAAAAGTTGAGAGCATGGGGGTGGGGTGGGGGGAAGGGGAGGGGGAAGAGAGAAGGGGAGGGTTGGGGAGAGCTTGGGGGAGTGAGATGGTTGAGATGGAGGAAGGACGAATAGGGGAGCAGGGAAGAAGATATCTTAATTAAGGGAGCCATTTTGGGGTTGGCAAGAGGCTTGACTCTAGAGGGGTTCCCAGGTGTCCATGGGGATGTCCCCAGCTAGGACCCTGAGCAGTGGAGGAGAGGGTGCCTGAACTGGCCTTTGTTATGTCCAAATCCATGGGTCCCCCACAAAAGCCAACAAAGACCCAGTGTTTCAAATGTAAAAGCAAAGAGCCTTTATTTTAATCAAGTTTGCAAACTTGGTCTCCCTGCATGTCCAGCATATAGGAATATCTGGAGAGCCCCAGCCAAACATTTCGTAGACCTTGGGGAATCCTGTGGAAGAGGGGCCGTTTGAAAGTGGTGGTCCGAAAGAAAATGGCCCCCAAAGGGAGTGACACTGTCCAGAGGTGTGGTTTTGTTGGAGTGGGTGTGGCCTTTTTGGAGGAAATTTGTTACCATGGAGGTGTGCTTTAAGGTCTTCTCTGCTCAAGCTACTCCCAATGACACAGTCTACTTCCTGTTGCCGTCTGGTAAAGAGGGTAGCCAGCACCACATCTGCCTGCACATTGTCCTGTTACTCACCATAATGATAAAGGACTGAACCTCTGAACTGTAAGCTGTTTCAAGAGTTAAGGCAGTCAGATGCTTAAAAAAAATCCCACTCTAGCTCAGAAATAAGAAATAGGCATTTATTAAAGGGTAAACTCACAAATTAGAATTCTCCGCTTGACCGCTTGAGCAGCCAACCTGGCACGAAGCAAGGGGAACAAGAGCAAAGGGGCATGCACACACTCGGCTTCCCCGTAAATAGTAAGAGAGGCCATGCCCCAGTAGGCAGACTAATACAAGCTGTAATACTTCTTACAGCATCTCCCCCCTTTTCTTTAGAGAGTTTTAAGCCTAATATAAAATTATATACAATAAGAAAATATGTTCTATTTTAACTAGCTTAAGTCTGTATAATAAATAACTTGGCCAAGTCATGAGAGGAAAGTAACTATTTATTTAGTCTTTAACCTCATCGAAGATCTGAGAAGGGAAATAATGTTACTTGAGTGAGTAGGAATGTAATCAAGCAACTTCTAAAACGTGCAACAAATGACAGAGACAACTGGCTACCTGGACAATCACCCAAAGTCTTATTTGTAACATTGAGGCAACCAATTTCACCTCAATTAGTGTTTTTCTTTATAAAAGTTGCCGTGGTCATTGTGTCTCTTCACAGAAATAAAACCCTAATTAAAACATTTTTTTGTTCTTATTTTATGTGTAAGAATGTCTGCTTGCATGTATGTCTGTGTCCCACATACTCTCAGAGGTCAAAGGTATTCGATCCCCTGGGTCTGGACTTACAGAGGGTGGGTTCTGGGAATCAAACCGGGGTCCTTTGGAAACAGCCAGTGCTCTTAACTGCTGAGCTGCCTCGCTAGACCTTTAATTGTTTTTTATTTCTGAGACAGGGTGTCACTGTGGAGCCCTGGATGGCACCTAGGCTGACCGCAAACTCTGGCTATGTCAGCTGGCCTCAAAAGCGAAACTGTTCCGTACAGGGAGGTGACAGCCAGGCACTAAAGCATCCAGCCTGGGATCCTGACTGAGACTTTTCACCTCTGTAGCCCTTCATTTCCTCAACTGCAGGATGAAGGGTTGTGCTGGGTGGGCTCCCCAAGCTCACAGAACTGTGGTTTTGTTTCTTCCTGCAAGTGTGCCAATCAAAACATTAGGATTCTAGACTGGATTTTTGACCAACGTTTATCTGCGAGGAAGTTCCTATGGCATTCACAGCCACGTAGGACGGAGTGAAGTAGAAACACATGCAGTCTCAGCCCTTCGATTCATTTATCAAGAACACCCCTACCATGTCTTAGTCTCCTTTGCTGTCCACGCTCACAGGGCTGACCTTGTATGGCGATGGCGTTCTGATATCTTGTTGTTATGACCTTGGCTGGTCATGACCAATAGGTCCTTCTGCCTCCACCACCCTCTAATCCCTGGAAGCAGAGGTGGGCTCTGAGTTCGAGGCCAGCGTAGACTACAAAGGAAATTCCAGGACAGCCAGGCAGGGTGACACAGGGAAACCCTGTCTTGTATCCCCACCCTCCAAAGAACAATGTCAGGAGGGAAGCTCATGCAGAGATTGCTTGTTGGTTTATTTGAGACAGGCTCTCACTATGCAGCCTGGGCTGGCCTGGAACTCACAGTGGAGACCAGGCTGCCCTTGAATTCACAGGGATCCATCTGCCTCTGTCTCCTGAGTGCCATAACTACAGGAGTCTACCACTAAGCCTGGACCAGCACATGGAGATTTATTACAAGTGCTGACCTTCTGAATACAAGGTCCCATGGGCCTGCCACGGTCCCTTCGTCTCTGACGGCATTGCTGATCCACTGACTCAACCACTGTGTGTACGTAAATGCTGCCATGACCCTGAAACCTTATGACAAATGCCTGTGCATACGTGTATCATACGAAACTTTCCGAACTGCACCTTTGGTTATTTTCGGCCAAAATCTGTCCTCATAAGTGGCCCTGAACCTACTTCCTCTTTCTCTAACCTGATTTTTCTCCTTGATTTCTCTCCATGCTCTTTCCTTCCATCCTAGAACAGGACATTACTCCTTACCTATGAAACCCTCCCTAACAGCCAGCTTGCTGCTTAATCTAAAGTGTTCCACTCAGATTCTTTCCTTGTCCACACCCCTCTGCCTCGCTAGGATGACCTCCTTAACTTGGGAAGAGCCCTGTCTATGTGCATGCTAAACACCAGACTCATTGCTCTTACCTGCCTTCCTCAGGTGAGGTGACACTCAGGTAAGTTCTGTTACTTCCTAGTCTCTCTTGCAGTATAAGGTCTCAGCTGCCCACAGAGGTCGTGGCTTGGTAATCTGTGGTTATTGCCTGCTCTCTCTTCCTATTACAATGTTCTGTTCCCCTACCAGATTCTAAACAGCTTGTCATGGAATCTGAGTCTCCAGACCTTTTTGTGTGTGTGTGTTTATGTGCTTTATGACTGAGTTCAAATGTGTTCCTGCATAGCAAAGACAATGTGGGTGGGAGCAATCTCAACATGGACATACCTTATAGCGAGTCAGGAGAATGGCAAATTAGAAGCCAGCCTGGGCTACATAAGGAGCTGTTGTCTCAACCAACCAACCAACCAACCAACCAATCAATCAAACACTAAACTAAGGGAGATCTCCCTTCATAAGAACCCCTGAATGGAATGAGTGTGTGGATAAAGATCCTTTCCAAGCCTAGGGCAACTTCAACAAACTCATTTGGGCTTTTCTTTATTATTAGGTACTTGATTTTGGAACTTTTGTGTTATTCTCGGCATTTTCCAGTGCTGACAAGTCACCTTAGCACTGGTAGCCCCATTTTTTATTATCGAGTCACCCTGGGTATCTGTGGTAGTTTGAGTGAAAATGGTCCCATAGACCATAAGAAATGATTCTATTAGAAGGTGTTGAATTGGACGTTGCCTTGTTGAGGAAGTGTGTCACTGAGGTTGGGCTTTGAGGTTTTAGACACTCGAACTAGGCCTTGTCACTCTCTTTCTGCTCTCTGTCGATCTCAATATAGAACTCTCAGCTACTTCTTCACCGCCATGTCTGCCTGCACGCCACTGTTGCAGGATATTTGATTGGATGCTTCTTGGGCCCTTTAGCATTTAGGAAGGAGAAAGAGTTGAGGTCACTGGTCTCTTCTCCAGTACTTCTCTGATGAACCAGGTTTTTACCCCGATAGTTGACTCCCAAGTTTTTATTAATAATGAAACATTTAGATAACCTCTTCACGCCGCCATGCTTCCCGCCATGATGACAGTGGACTAAACCTCTGAACTCTAAGTCAGCTCCAGTTAAATGTTTTCACTGATAGGAGTTGCCATGATCATGGCGTCTCTTCACAGCAACAGAAACCCTGACTAAGAGAGCATCTGAGGAGACATGGTCCTCCCCCTGGAGCACAGCCCAGGTATGATCTGTTTGCCCAGCCTGTCTTCCTTTATCATGACTCTTGTTACACAGAGCTAGCCACATCCCCCTGCCTCTCAAGCCCCATCTTGATCATTTCCCCCCCCCCCCCCCCATGAACCTCTACTCTGCCTCTTAGGTACAAATCTCTAACTGTTCTCTGAAACATCTGCCAAACGTGGCAGGTCACACCTTTAGTCCAACTGCTTGGGAGGTAGAGTCAGACAGATCTCTGTGTGTTTGAGGCAGGTGTGGTCTCCACACTGAGTTCCAGGCCAGCCAGGACTGCACAGTGCAACCCTGCCTCAAAAAGGAATTTTCAGTACTAAAAATGATTTGTTCACTGAAGGGCTGGGGAGTCCAAGATCAAGGGCCCCGGCAGATGCGCTCTCTGTTGAGAACATGCGTCAAAGTTGGTGATGTCAGGTTGTGTCCTCGTGTGGAAAGGAGAGCCTGAGCTCCCTTGAGGTCGGTTTGCTTGTTTGTATAGAAATTTCACAAAAGAGAGGTTTTCTTGTGACATCTTCATGCATAAACTGTACCTTGCTCATAGTGCCCTCTGTGTCTAGGAGGTTGGCCGCACGCTTTCTACTTTCTTCTGTACTCCTACCCTTTTTACTCACGCCCCCCCCCTTCCTTGCTGCCCTGCTTCTCTCCCTGTTGCAAACCCTACTGCTCAGGGTCCCTACACCATCACAATACTGACATCATGCCCGCCTTACTCTGCTTGAGTAAGTGAATGCTGGGTTTTCTCCCTTTCAACGGAAGTATGTATAATGTATTAAAACCCAACACGGAACGGACAGGTTTTGCTCACAGGTCACTACAATCCTCGAGCGTTTGTGCCCAACTACACAAATAAAGGGAAGGAAAAGAACCACAGAAACAGCGAAGACAGAGCCTACACTTGGCTGGAAGCCACGGCTGTTCACCACAAGTCAGACATTTCAACATAGGATTTAAAGCCTAAGTCAAACAGTCTACTTGTTTGGGCTGGGAGGAAGTTGAGGGGAAAAGCCTGTGGGGTTCCTAATCCCACGAAAACTTTTTCTTTCTGGATTCTAGCAACTGTGGTCAAGGGTCTCACCAGTCAGAACAAGCAATGCTTGTTATTCCTCTGGGCTTTTGCTGACCTGGGGCTTGGTTGTAGGAAAGGCACCCAGACCACTGTACTCAGAGAGGGTGGCAAGCCGTGTGAGAACCTGTGAGGGCAGACACACCCACTCACATAAACAAAGCCCAGGTGGGAAAAGCAGCCATCTAATTCTATCAAGCGTTCTTCATAAATAGCTGGACTACCTGGGTGGTGTGCTCAGAATCACATAAAAAGAAAGCGTGCAGTTGCTAAGTAATGGGGCTCCTGAAATCAAGCTGTCAGGATGGGAAGGCTCTGCTACATGACTCCATGTTTCTTGGCAGTGCTGGGCATTTACAGACTTCACAGGTAAGCTATAGAGCACTCAACTTCGACTCCAGATTAGCAATGATTTATTTCTAGCATCATCATGTCACAAAAAGTGTATTGAGTATACACAATACATGTGACATATTTATACCAAAACATTGTGTTATTTATCTGAAAGTCAAATTAATGAGGAATCCTGCAGTTTTGTTTGCTAAATTTCCCAACGTGAACTGCCTGTCTTTCTTGTTTTCTTCTGTCGAAGCAGTCCTTGCTGTGCTTGTGGACAACTGGGACACGTTGGCAGTCACAGTGATGTAACTGCAGCAGATCTTGTGGGTGTACAAGCTGGCAACTTCACTCTGGAATACTAGTAGACACTCTGGCCAGCCCCAAACCGGCCGTTCCTGCAGCTAGTCTGAACAACAGGTTATCTAACTTAGATCTCTTCCCCCTGAGCAGATGAAACATTGAATGTCTCAACCTAGTTGTATATTTTCTTGCTGAGGGTACAGTTGAGCATTTTTGAGATGTTCCCCCATAGTCTCAGGAATGTGAACATTTGGTCCACAGTTCATGGTCTTGCCTGGGAAGTCTTAAGTGGTGTGGCTTTGCTGGAGGAAGTGTGTCACTGGAGATGGACCTTGGGAGTTTAAAGACTTGCCCCATTCCCAGTTCACTCTCTCTGCTTTGCGCCTGTGGTTCAAGGCCTGAGCCCTCAGCTTCCTGTTCCTGCTGCCACATCTTTGTTCCACCATCATAGACTAAACCTCTGCCTGCATCCCAAATAAACCCTCCCTGCTGTAAGGTCGTGGGTGAACAGAAGTGACAATGCAGAGGCTGGTGGCAGGAGTGGTACTACTGCTGTGACAGGCCACACTCTGATGCTTTTTTCTTGGAAGTGCAGAAGGCTTTGGGTCTCTGGTCAAGAAAATCAAGGATCCGTGGGACATCCTAGCTGAAGCCTGGGAGACAGGACCATGACAATTCAGACTGTGGAGACTCCGCTCAAGGGTTTTCAGAGAGAAATAATATTAGCAACTGGGTTAGAGACCCGTTCTGTGGTATTTTTGACAAAGATCACGGCTGCTTTCTGCTCATGCCCTAGAACTTAATCTGAAGGTAAATTTAAAAGCAACATACTAGGAGGGACAGGGGAGATGGCTCAGCACATAAGAGCCCCACTCCCTGCAGAAATTCAAAACTGGATTCAGTTCCCAGCACCTACATGGGAAGTGTAGTTCCAATTCTAGGGGACCGGACTATCTCCTGTGACCTCCACTGGCAGTAGGAGTACACATGTACATACATACAGGCAAAACACCTATACCCATAGGATAAAATAAACCTTTTCTTGAAAAATTAAAAAGTAATGGACTAATTTCTTTGGTGGAAGAGAGCCTAACATGCCCTCATAGTGACTCTGTTATTTGTTTATTAGTAATAACTGTTAGGCAGTTCTGCAATGAAAAAGAACAACTAGGGCAGAAAGAAATGAATATATATATATATATATATATATGCATATGTGTATCTATATTTATATCTGTATATATACACAGTTTTGGAAGAAAAGAACACTGGCAAGCTTGGTTTTATGGGGAAGTTTGCACTGGAAATTGTAACTGTGAGAATATTGTCACCAATAAACAAAGTACTGATCTACATAAGAATAAAGGAAAAGGCACCCTCAAGGGATGATCCCACTTAGCTAAGCTTCCAGAACCTAAAACAGAGCATAAGGCATTTCCTGCTCCCGAAGAGTAGTAGCCATCCAAAACTGATGCTGACTGGATTCCAAGGAGCCAGGGTCCACCCCAACTCGGCAGCTGAACTCAGCCGTTTCATCCGCATGGTCCTAATTTTAGACTCATAAAAGATAAGTGGTCGTGGATTCGTTCTCCATGGCTTCAGGGAGCTCCCAATGACAAGAAATATATGTCAGGGGAGTCCTGTGAAGACCCGAGAGAGCAGGAGGTCCTGTGAGGCCATTGCATGAGGCGAGAAAGTGAAGCCTGTGTTGCCCTGGAGAGCTGTGGGACCTCTGTCAAGGAGGTAGCCTAAGAGAAAGAAGATTGCTGTGGTCAACAAAGCTGGAATGGCAGATCCAGCTAAGCCTTTCCACACTAGGCATGGAGGTGTGGGATTTGGCATCTGACTGCTGGGTTTCAGTCCTGCTTTGGTCCAATACTTCCTCATTATGCCCCCCAGTCCTCCCTTTTGGAACCATAATGTATTTTCTGTGCCATTTCATGTTGGAAGTACATAATTTGCTTTTTGGTTTCACCGGGGGTGATAATTAAGAGATCACTTTGAGTTTCAGAAAGGAGTTTGGATTTAGAGCCGCTGTTGTGACTGTAAAAGTCTGGTGGCTTTGAAGTTGGAGCACAGATTCTCCTCTGTGATATGGTCACAGGCCCATGAGGGCCAGAGAGTAGAATGTTGTGGTTTGGATGAGAAGTCCTCAGAGGACCTGGCACCTGTGAAGACCCTGTGCATGCGGCTTCAGCCTCCTTTAGTTCATATGGTCTGTGCTTAGTGGGCTCAGAGGGACTGTTCTGGTGTCCTCTGTCCCCTCTGGCCCTTATGTGCTCTCTACCCCCTCTTCCACAGCATGCCCCTATGTTCATTTGTCAAGTGACAAACACACCCTGTCATACCTTATGCTGATTCCCACTCTCGGTGTATTTTCTTTCATTATGTAATTGGGTTTTGTTGCCTTTGAGGCATTTGATATAATCAAGGTTTATACTCCCGTCTTATTGACTTTTAGAAAATAGCAATACACATACGTCTTTTCATTCTTTACACACTCCTCTCCTTTATATCTTCACATATGTATTTTATTCCCCTGTCACTATCACTACACACATGACAGAAAGGAACACGAACCCTGTGGACATTGTCTTGCAAATCCTTGGGAATCTTTCACCTCTTTCCTCATCCTTTACATTTTATATATTTATTTTGAGACAGGGTGTCTCTATGTATCTCTAACTGGCCTGAAAATTTATATGAATCAGTTTGGCTTTAAAATGGTAGAAGCCCACCTGCTTCTACCTCTGGAGGACTGAAATTAAAAGTGTACACCACCATGTCCAGATGTTAGAAACTTTCATGTATTTATTTATTTTAGTGCAAGAGGTTTATCAGCAGAGTGGAAGAGCGAAAGGCGATGTTGGAGTGGGGGCTTGCGAGAGGCAGGCAGAGAAGAGGAAGGAGAGAGAAGAGAAGAGGCAAGAGGGGAAAAAGAGACAAAGAGTAGAAAGAGGCAAGAGAGATGGAAGAACAAGAGAGGGAAGGAGGCAAAGAGCTGCTAAAACTTTTAATTTCTACTTCAGTGATCTGAGCTCCTCATATATGTTTTTTGTTGATCTCTCTGTTCTCTTCTTCCTTGTAAATATTCTGATTTATCTCTGTTTTTGTATGATTTTTTTCTTCTCTGTTATGTTTGGGCTTGTCTTGCCATTTCAGACCCGAGGCTCCCTGTTTCTCTTGTTCTTCCCTTTCTTCCTAGAGGCCTTTATCTTATGCCTTACTTTCCTATTGATGTGATGAGGTACTGTGACCAAGGTACAAGTCACAAGAAAAAAAGTTTATTTGCAGCTCACGGTTCCAGGAGGTGAATCCATGGCCCCCATGGTGTGGAGCTTGGCGTTGGAGCAGCAGCTGGGAACTCACATCCTGAGACACATGCGTGAAGCAGGGAAAGAGTTGGGAATGGTGTGGTCTTGAAACCTCAAAGCCCACCCTCAGAGACGTACCTCCTTCAACAAAGCCACACCTCCTAATATTTTCCAAACAGTCCTACCACCTGGGGACCAAGTATTCAAATATATGACATATAAGGGCATTCTCATTCAAACCACCACACCTTCTATATTTTAAATAAAGATAGCATGTAAATCAATAAGAAAAGTGGATATTCTAGTAACCAAAAACTGTGAGGAGATATTTCAATAAGAAGAAAAGGTCTGGCAAGATGGCTTAAGTAAGCAAAGGTACTTATCACCAAGACTGATATCCTGAGTTCTGTCCCTAGAACTCACATGCAGAAGTAAAGAACCAGCTCTTGCAAGTTGCCCTCTGACCTCCTGTACTGGCTGGTTTTGTGTACTATCTTGACACAAGCTAAAATCATCAGAGAGGAAGGAGTCTCAGCTGGGGAAATGCCTCCATGAGGTAAGGCATTTTCTCAATTAGGGATTGATGGGGAGGCCTATGGTGGGTGGGGCCATCCCTTGACTGGTGGTCCTAGGTTCTCTAAGAAAGCAGGCTGAGCAAACCATGTGAAGCAAGCCAGTAAGCAGCTCCCTCCATGACCTTTGCATCAGTGCTTGCCTCCAGGTTCCTGCCCTGTTTGAGTTCCTGTCCTGTCTTTCTTCAGTGATGAACGGCAGTGTGGAAATATAAGCCAAATCAGCCCCTTCCTTTCCAACTTGATTTTTGGTCATGGTGTTTCATCATCACAATAGAAACTCTAACTGAAACACCTCCATGTTCCTCAACAAATAAATGCTTAAAAAAAAGCAGAGTAAAGAAAAGCATTAAAATATGTTAAGTTCTAACTACTTACGCATGCCATGGCTTTTTCTCCATCATCTGATCACACAGCACGTTGGTTTAAAACACTGCCTTTATTAGGGTTTCTGTTGCTGTGAAGAGACACCATGACCACAGAAACTCTTATAAAGGAAAACATTTAATTGGGTTCAGTTCAGAGGTGACAGTCTATTATTGTCATGGCAGGAAACATAGTGGCACGTTGATAAACGTGGTTACTGGAGAGATAGTTGAGAGTTCAACATTTGCATCAGCAGGCAGCAAAGAGAATGACACAGGCCTGGCCTGAGCATCTGAAACCTCAAAGCCCACCCCTGTGTCTTACTTCCTCGAACAAGGTGACACCTTTTCCAATAAGGTCACACCTCCTTAGAGAGTCACTCCCTGAGGACCCAGGGAGGCCATTTTCCTCAAGCCACCAGGAACATCAAAACTGTATAGAGGCAGGCAGGGGCTCACACACACACACTCTTCTGCTTCAGGAGATGTGGTGGCATTGCAGCAGCACAAAGCAAGTTGAGGTCTAGAGGTAAGAAGCAAAGTTCCATCATCCCACCAACAGGTGTACCACAGGCTTTGGTCTGACCCCTGTTCCCTGAATGTCTGGTCTGAGCTGGAGAAGAGTCCTTTAGGACAGCGGTTCTCAACCTGTGGGTGGTGACCCCTTGGGGGTTTGAAGGATTTTTTTCACAGGGGTTGTATATCAGACATTCTCCATGTCAGATATTTATATTATGATTCACAACAGTAACAAAATTTCAGTTACGGACTAGCAACTAAATAATTTTATGGTGGGGTCACCACAACAGGAGGAACCGTATCAAAGGGTCACAGCATTAGGAAGGTTGAGAACCACTGCTTGTTGAACCTGCGTGCAGTTTGAGGTCTGGAAAAAACCAGATCTAGAAGTTCACGCTTATGGTTTTGTCTGTTTAGATGAATGAGAACTCAGTGCATTTTGAAGTGTCTGATGCCTCCATTGCTTAAGTTTGCTGCAGAAAAGGTGGTCGCATGTCGGGAGCTATTGATCCCTAGGCCCTTGACTTTCTTTGCCTGCAGATGCTCTGAGCACGAGACCCTGATGGTAGGCTGAAGAGTCTGCAACTGCAATATCCCGAGAGCTGGGCGTGACTAAGGATCCCTATGTAAGTTGCCTCTGAGAACAATAAAGGAGGCATTTAGCATTCTTGCTTGTATCAAGGATGACCTGTGTCTGCATCTCTGTCTCTCTCTGTGTCTCTATGTGTTTTTAAGTCTCCAGCTTAGTTCCCAGCTCGTGCAACTGGTCCCATAGTGACACAGGAGCTACAGGGCCATTTCGGATCTTTACAGTGGCACTCCACAGTGACAGGTTGGAGATGGAAAGTCATGCATACGTCTCTACATGAAGTTAACATCTGTGCCTAAACAAACTACACAGCATGCTGGGCCCTCATATGCCAGGAGTCAGAGCTCACTATGCTGGGTCCTTGCTTAGTTTCTAAGCCCTGCATGAATGTAGGTGGATGAAATTTGAATGTGGTCATGAATGCTCTTGATTTGAGTACTTTTATTTAGCAGAACTTAATGAACTGGATTAAAAAACAAAACTTTTTCTCATATGAAAGTTCCGAAATAGAGTTTAATTATTACTGTTTTTCAGATCTCTTCACCCTTCCCCCACCCACAAATAAAGGTTATTTTAGGGCCTTAAACATAAAAGGCACAAACACACAACTACCAGTTTCCATTCTTTCCACAAGAACATGATGGAAAGTAATTTTCACAAAAGGTGTAAACAATAAATACAGAAACTAAAAGAATAGAAGGGGCAAAAGCAGACAAAGTCACTGTCATTTTAGGAGCTGCAAGCAAAATGGGAGGAAGGTAGCTGAGTTCATTTTTGGACTGAGCATCAAGAAGTGAGACACTTGGAGCCCCAGGCATGAGAGAAGATAGCAGGTAGGAATGGTCCAAACGAGATTCAGAGTTTATATGCAGCATGGCCCATACCGACTTTCATCTCTCCATACCAGTGACCAGGTCGCCCAGCCCTGCAGAGGTCTACGTGGGCAAGGTGTGGCTGTGAACCAAGAATCCTGACTCTGTGATGCCAGGAGCTAAATGTTCTGGGATGGAAATACAGACGACGACATGTTACAACCAAACACAGTTTGCCCGTCCCTAATGTTTTCCCACGTGGCCGCTTTTCATCCCCGTCTTGCACATGCACGGCTTGTGATGCAGGCAAAGCTGCAGGCGCGAAGCACGTGGCCTCTAAAGCCCCGCCCTCTCCTCACCAGCATCCACACTCTCGCGAGACTTTGGTGTGCAGCCCAGGACAGGAAGAGATGTGCTCGGCCACCATGGTGGGCGACGGCTGAGCGGAGCCAGGCCTTGGGAATTTTACTGTATATGAGCAGAAGGAGATGGCGGAGAAGAGGGTGGAGCCACAGGACTTCCTGAAGAACTTCCGGGAGTACCTGAGCCAGCAGACTCGCCAGGTGAACGAGCTGGCCTGGGACCTGGCCGAGCAAGCCCGTGACCCCTGCCTCCCCAGCCTCCCCGGCGATGGTGATGCCCTGGATGGGAGCCCCCCGGTGCTGATGCTGGACGACTTGGGGAGGACCTTGGATGGGAAGCTTCAGTGCCCGTACTGCAGCTATGCCAGCGAGAGAGCTGAGCGGCTGTTGGAGCACACTAGAATCCACACGGGCGAGAAACCGCACCGGTGTCACCTCTGCCCCTTCGCCTCGGCTTACAAGCGCTACCTCGAGGCCCACATGCGGTCACACACCGGAGAGAAGCCGTACAAATGCGAGCTGTGTGCGTACCGCTGCAATTACAGAAGCAACCTGTCGCACCATCAAAGGCGCAGGCATAATTTGTTATCGCTTACAGGGCCCAGGGCCTCTTTAAGCAGTGTGAAAATGTGGGGGGGCTTGCAGAATAAAAGCAGTGTAGCGGGTGGCAAAGGAAGGATGCTCATCGCCCTAGGTCCACCTTCTGGGGTCGTTCAGAAACCAGACTACCTGAGCGATTTTCCCCACAAGATCCTAGATGTTCAGAATGATCTCTTTGACAGTATGGATAAACCTTCACTTTATGCACTGCCAAGGGACCCCGAGGAGCTCTTGCTACTGGACAATCCCTTGAATCAGATGTCTGCTCTAGCAAGACACTTGTCTAGCTTGCCACCTGAAAACCAAAACCGCGTCTCAGCTGATGTAGACTTCAGCCTCGATGAAAATCCTTTCATGATCCAACAGCCCTCTGCCCAAGGGAGTGTCCCTCAGAGCTCCCCCATGGTCCTGGAGTCTCATCCATCATCATTTAGTCACAGAGACGGCAGTCCGTTTGCAGGGCCCAGCATCCAGCCGAGTGGCCGCACCACCAGCACCTCCATCCTTGGAAACAGCCAGCCAAGCACTCCGGCCCTAACCTTGCTGGCGGAGGACCCTCAGCTCCTTCACCACTGCCAGCACTGTGACACATACTTTGCCGACAATGTCCTTTACACTATTCATATGGGATGCCATGGGTACGATAGTCCTTTTCGTTGTAACGTATGTGGATACAATTGTAAAAACAAGTACGATTTTGCCTGTCATTTTGCAAGAGGCCAGCATAACTAGAGCTGAGAACAACCAACCTTATCTTTACCCAGTTTAGCCTTTTTGGGTGGTTAGAGTTTGCTTTTGTTACTCCTGGTAGGGCATTTTCTAATTTAAAGTTTATATTGTAAGATATGAATCTGATGGAGGAAACTGCTGCCCACCCCCGTATTCTCTCTCCCTCCCTGCCCCCCCCTTTTAAATAAAACTTGATCTGGTCAAGGTTCAATCATAATTTTAGCAGGTGTTTAGTTAAATTTTCCTTCCTTATGGCTCTTTTGACTTTAAGGATTATTTACACTCTTGGTATTTCTAATCTTCATTGCTTTTAGTTATTATTTCTGTCATATTTCAAACCAGTAGAATAATTTTTCCTCGGTAAATCCGACACACCTTATTTCTGTGCTGACAGTAACTTTGAAGTTGCCATTAGTTGGTGCTATCTAGTTCCTATACTTCAATCAGACTAGCTGTTTCCTTTCACCTGGAAACCGTAAGGTTGTTTTAGTGTAGTAACTGTTTTTTTCTTCTACATAGGGAATATAAAACAATTTTTTGAAGTTATAAAAATAGGTGAAAGTTCTGAAAAAGAAATGAAACATAGGACCAAGTTTCCTTTAGCTTAAATTGTTCAGTTTTTATAGTACCTATGGAGTCGGTGTCTAATGTAGATATGTTAATAACCCATTGAGCTCTAGTGCCTCACACTTATTTTTTAAAGCCAGAGGGGGAAAAGGAAGCAAGGTATTTTTGTGCAGCTTGTGTTTCTTTGTGCAATTTAAGTTTTTCAGTTAAATTCTTAATTGAGACACGACTGGTGTTAGTTGAGATTGGTAACTGTAGTTAGATTCTGTGATGCCTATTCTTTCGATGACCCCCCCCCCAAAAAAAGGGATAAAGGAATTCATCCATTTTAAAATGCAGCCATTCCCTAGCCCCTTCAAGGCAGTGAGTGACCCCGCCAGAGCCTGCACTGTGCACTTCAGGCCTTTGGGGCTGTGTGGATTGTCTTGTCATTGCTGCCAGGTTTGCACAATAGCAGTCACGAAAGCTTCACGCAGGTTTCTGGGGAAATCTGACGATCTACTTCCTGTATCTTACCGGGAATGAAGCACCCTTCAGATGCTTCTCAGACCAAAGCTGAGCTGACCCACTTTCTGGCTGCTCCTCTCTTGGTCTCTAGGATGCTCCTGGCCAAATCTGAAGGCACAAGAGGAGCCTCAGCCATGCGGGGTTCTCCTTCATTGCCCTGCTTGGTCACAGAGGGCCCATGGGACCCTGTTAGCCTTCCTCTATGCAGCCGCCACACTTGGAGGCTGCCTAGTTTGGAGACATCTGGTTGGCTCTCCCTTCCTGTAGCAGCAGCAGAGCTCATTCCCGAGAGGTACCCACAGAGCAGATGAGCTGGTAGTCCTGCCTCATATTCCACAGGCCGCATTCATGTTGGCATGGCACAGCAGCTGCCTGCTGCCACATTCCTCTCACCACCCGTCAGGTCAGGCTAGGAATGGTTTCTTCTCCACCTCATGTGGGCTTCTGGGAGCTCTGACTTCACTGCTGAGTGGTCACATCTGTGCCCCTCATATGTCCTTTCTGACAGAAGCCTGACCCACGACGGCCCTTGGACTCCAGGGCTCCCACAAAGCCCTCTGATAGGAACTGTGGAGTTAATAGTTACTGATTTCTTTAGAAATTTTTCTTTGAATTTGTAGCATGTGTTATAGCACTGAATGGCGTCTCACCCAAATTTTTATGTTGACATCCCCTGAGCTTATGAAGATGGATATAAATGAGGTCATGTGGACAGGTTCTAATCTGGTATGATGGACATCCCATGAAAAGAGGAGATTGTACAGAGATCTACACAGATGGTTGGCCACGGAAGACACAGGGAGCCCAACTAATGCCTGTACTCCGGGGACACAGGCCTTGGAAGGGACTAGACTGGCCTGCACTTTGTGGTCAGGTTCCAGTCCCCAGAGCTATGGAGAAATATGTTTCTGAGTTAAAGGATCCCAGGCAATAACAGTGAATTGCTAGACAGCCCAGCAAATGGATGAAGTCTCCAGTGTTCGGTTTCTGTTTGATTTTTGGTTTTATTTGTTTTCAAATCAGGGTCTCACTATATAGCCTTGGCTGGCCTCGCACTCACTGTACAAACCAGCTTGCCCCGTGGTTCATAAAGATCCATTTGTCTGTCTTCCTAGTACTGGGATTAAAGGCGTGTGCTGTTTTTGTTTTTGAAGGAAGAAAAGTCCCTAAGTAGACTTGGAGGAGTCATGGACGAGAAGGAAACATGTAATTCCAGGACCCTATGTTTTCTAGCTTGGTGCAGTGTAAGAGTGATTTCCTGGGTTTCTCTAGTTTTTCATTTATTACTTTTTTGTTTGTTAGTGCTTCCTTTGGAATGTAGCTGGGCATCTACTTTATACTCTCCTAAAGATTGCTACCTACTCATTGTGCTTTGTAAGTTTTCCTTTGCCGCTTTGGTGTAATTTATTATATGGTAGATGCCAAAATAAATGACTGAGTAAGAGTGAGTGAACTCCCAAGCTGGTGCCTCGTTGTGGAGGGTGCCGGGTTTCTTCACCCACACATCCTCACTCTTGGCCCTCAGCACTGACGTCAGTAAAATGAAGAAAGCGACATTGAGGAAATTGAGTCACATTTAAAGCATCAACGTCTTTTATTTTATTTTTATACTTAAATTCATCTACCATAGAAAAAATTAACCAAAGAATCCACTTTACTACCACTTACGCTTCAGGATAGAGGACTGGTCCTGCGAACTGTAATGTCTGCGTTTCCTCTGAAGGCTGATTCCTGCCTAGCCTTTCTAGTCTGTGGCTCGGTCGGTCTGTGAGGCCTGCTGCTCCTCCACTCAGACCTCTCTGCCTCTTCACCAGGTAGGGTCCTTAACAGACTGTGTGTTGATTCCCAGACTGGCCGTCAGCCCTGAGTTCACTTCTACATGACTTCCCAGCCCCTGGTTATGAAATTGCTCCCTGGACATTCCCATCATATTTCTTCAATGCTTCAGACTCCCCCTGCCCAGACTATCATTGCCTAAAACTGTGTGTACATTTCCCCATTGCTGGTATTTACTCCCTTCCTTCTTCCCTCTTTCCACTCCTCTTTGATTTTTAAGACATGGCCTTAGCCTGTAGCCCAGGCTGCCCCGGAACTGAATCCTCCTTATCTCTGGCAGGCTGGAATTACAGGCATGAACCAGCATACTCCTCCTCCTCCTCCTCCTCCTCCTCCTCCTTCTTTTTTTTTTTTTTGATTTTTCGAGACAGGGTTTCTCTGTAGCTTTGGAGCCTGTCCTGGAGATAGCTCTTGTAGACCAGGCTGGCCTCAAACTCACAGAGATCTGCCTGCCTCTGCCTCCCAAGTGCTGGGATTAAAGGTGTGTGCCACCACCGCCCGGCTAGCATACTGTTCTTTAGAGATGCCTATCACCAGAGACCGCCTTACTCCAGCGTGAATCCCATCCTCTGCTTCCTCCCATCTCATATCTTGTCACTCACCAAGGCTTAGTCATTTTACTTCTTTCATAATGAATATTCAGAATACTCAAAAATGTAGCTTGTCTCTCTAGTGCTAAGGCATGTAAATCAGCAAAAAACAGTGTGAAACATGGCAGAGACACATTCAAAATAGTTGAAAGTCAGAGCAAGTGAACCCATTTGTAGGCAGTCAGCAGGAAAGTAGACCTTGTGCGGGGCAACATCAGCAATTTTTTAAAAATGCATCTCTTTTAACTCGGTAACCTATCTTTTAGAAAATTTCCCTAGAGAAGTAAGGGGAGAAATACAGGTATTGACATATTGAGTTTACTAGGTTTTCATTAACACTAAAAGACCATAAATATCATCAATACAAAACAGCCCAAATGAGTGATTTGCTTAATTGTGCTATGTTAAATTTGTAAGTTTTGGCACCATTAATGATGATGCAAGGTGTGCGTTTACCAACTTCAGCGAAACCTACTTGTATTTTACACGCCAAGAAATGTTGTGAAACAGTGTATGGCTGATGAGCACGCTTGATGTAAATATGCCCATACGGGCAAGGAAGCAAGACTAGCTGGAGAGCGGAGGTGAGCCTGCAGAGAGTAAATTCTCTTTGGGCGTCCTCTGCAACTGCTCATTCTTTCCCCTAACAAGCTCAGGTCTTTGTCTGTCCTGAGCTCTGTCCTGTATCTCTGGAGACTGAACCTAGGACCCTGAAAGTGCTGGGCTATTGCCGCACTTCAAAGTTGCACACCAATACTGGAATTTAAAACACACACATGTACACACATACTGCATATATGTGTGCCTGAGTGTGTGTATGTGTATCACGTTTCAGAAGAGGCATTGGGTTCAGTGGAACTTGAGTTACAGATGGTTAGGAGCCCTCATGTGGATGCTGGGAACTGATCCCAGGTCTTTGGCGAGAGCAGTCAGCTCTTCAGCTGCTGAACTGTCTCTACAGCCCCAATCCTGGGATTTTTACTTACCAGGTACAATTTTCCATTCCCGAAGGCTTCAGGGACTGTGTAGACTGCTTCCTTCTCTTGCTATAGATGTACTGTGTCTCCTGATCTGTCCCCATCTTGCTGCTATGTGTGTTGTAGTTAGTTTACTCAGCGGCTGCCCTCAGTAGGACTCCGGGTGTCTGACTCAGCGCTTCAGGCAGCCTCCAAGTGACGCTGTCCTTAGCTCCTGTGGTTCAGTTCTTGACTCTGTCTTCTTGACAGCCCTCCCGCTAAGCCTCTTTGGGCTCTTCTGCCGCTGGAACTTCTGAGCCCTTCCAAGCAAGCACCAGGATAGGTAACCGTTTATTAAACATTGATAGAGAGACAGGAAGGAACCAGGGCACCAGTACCCTTTACGTGCACACCGCACTGTTTCCTCCTGAAGAGGATGGTGAGTGTATGCGGGCTAGTCCTCAGCCCGCTTGCTCTGTCTGCCCTGCACAAACTCCCCGCCCCGGAACGGTCCCAATCACAGTTCAGACTGATCTTCCCACATCAGTGAACGTACACAAGACAATCCCTTTCAGGAGTTCTAAGAGGCTAACCTTAGTCCAGACAACCCCTCATAGGGATGCCTAAGTGCCAGTTGGCAACACTTGACCATCATAATCTTTGTGTCTTATTTTAAAGAACATTTCC